GTTGGCTGAGCAGTGGCGGTTAAAGTAGACGTAAGCCGAACCTGAATGACCACTGATGACATTGTATATTACCGGGAGGGTGGGTGGGCGGGCAACCTCGGCATTCCAGCTATTGTGGAACAGGAGGCGTTCCGAGGTGACCTACCCCGGGTCTGTTGTGTAGGATTACATTTCCTAGCATGGCTGGGGATAGGCTTTGTTGGCTTCCACATTGTTCTTGAAGGCCATTGTGTGATAAGTCCAAGAGACACAGGGACGTAGTCTATGGATACCAGGATCTAGATCTGCCAGTGGACCTCCCAAAGTCATTTCTGGGTCACAAGGTGATTTGTCACGGCCACCCGGAACTGACGCGAGGAATTAAGTTTAGAAGAGTTCCTTGGTTATGTACCATGGCCACCAGCCATGTCCACCAAGCCAATCCCTTGCCTCCATGGGAGTGTTTGTTCAGTCAATCGACCCCATTCAAGCTACACTGGTCAAGAGTTTGTGGGCACCTGATCCTTACACTTTGTTGGACATCCCCTTCCAAAGCCATGGTTGTTAATATGGAGTTGCCCCTCCTATAACGGCCTACGAAGAGTTTGGTGGGAATTTTGTTGCCATAAAGCCAGAAGAACATGTGTGAGGTCAGGTGCTGATGGTAGATGAGAAAACCTGGCTCACAATCCGCATTCGTATTCATCCTTCGGGTGTTCAGTAGATTGGTTGAACTGGATGGACCTGTGTCTATGTTCAACACTCTAAGTTATTATGTAGATCACCTTTGGGATGATTTGTAACATGGATGTCACCAGCTTGGTGTGGAGCAACTCGAGTGTCCTGCACTGAACCCTGACCTTGTGCTAACAGTTTAGGTGAAGACCCTTTTCTGTTCCACCATGACTGTTCCCTACGTACAAAGCAAGCTCCATAAAGACATGGTGTGACCAGCTTGATGTGGAGGAACTCGAGTGTCCAGCACGGAGCCCTGACCTCAAACCTACTAAGACCTGTGGGATGAATTGGAGCTAGGTCTTCTCATTTCAGGTTTCCTCCAGAGGTTCCTAGAGAAGAGCACAGTGGAGGACAGATCCCCCGCTGGCCTACTAGTTTTCCACTGCTCTCTTCTCTGGTAACCTCTGGTGGAACACCAGGATGAGAAGACCTGGCTCCAATTCATTCCAAAGGTCTTTAGTAGGGTTGAGGTCAGGGATCTGTGCAGGACACTTGAGTTCCTCCACACCACACTAGTCACACCATATGGAGTTGGCTTTGTACACAGGGGACAATCATGGTGGAACTGAAAAGGGCCTTCACCAAACTGTTGCCACAAGGCTGGAAGATCCCAATTGTCTACAATGTCTTTGTTTGATTTAGAATGAAAAGAACCCTCCAATGGAGACACCTGAACTCCATCATTTGTAGGGGGGTCCTCATACTTTTGACCATGTAGTGTCTGCGGGATCCTCATGTTGATATCTCCTACAGAACACTTCACCAAACTGTTGCCACAAGGTTGCAAGAGCACAATTGTCCACAATGTCTTCGTAGGATGAACAAGAACCTTTGGCCATAGCCTGACATGTAGGAGCCCACAGTCTCAACCATATGGTCTGAAGTGTAGGAGCCCATTGTACACAGGGGACAGTCATGGTGGAACTGAAAGGGGTCTTCACCACATTGGTCACACCATGTCTGTATGGAGCTGGCTTTGTACACGGGACAGCCATGGCGGGACAGAAAAGGGTCTTCACCAAACTGTGACCACAAGCTTGGAAGAGAGCAATGGCCTACAATGTCTTTGCATGATTTAATATGAACACAACCTTCTCTGGAGACACCTATCCTTTTGGATGGTGGTCTTCATAATTTCGCCCGCCCCGCCCCCTACATGATTGTGCTTGTTGACCTGATGATGAAATTATACAATATTGTCTGCCTGATGCTGACCTGTGATTTTTATTCTTTCAGTGCCGGGAGCTCCAGGGCTTCATCCAACCTCTGACCGAGCTTCTTAATGGACTAAAAAGGGGCAGATACGACAGAGGTGAATATTAAATGGAAACTGTAAAATGTTAATGACGTATTTAATTTGTATTGTACTATCGCTTCAATCCTTTTACAAGTGATTATCTAATACATGGAAAAGGGATTCCAGAGCTCCATGGGTTAGCTAAAGAGACGGCACAGCAGAAGCTGCCTGCCTGCAGGCTTGCTTTCTCTGATTGAATCCTCAGACAAAGTGATGGGGGGGGAGGAGTCACTGCTCTGATTCATGTGTGTATTGCAGCTTGAGCTACTGAACTCTGTAAGTGACTTTTTACAACAACTTTTTACTACTCTACTTGATAGCTTGGGGCCACCATGACTATGGACTGTACCCTAGTGCACATGTGTGTTGTGGCCTCATCAATTCCTGTAGATGGTCCCTAACTGGGGGCCGCCAAGGCTATGGACTGTACCCTAGTGTACATGCTCGTGACCCCGCCATTCCTGTAGATGGTCCCTACTCTTCTAGATAGCTTGGGGCCACCATGACTATGGACTGTTCCCCGGTGCACCATGGCCCCTGGTCTATACTCTGCTGGGGGCCTCTGCCAGTAAACCTTAAAAAGGTTGTACAGCCATCGGGTTTCGACTCCCTTCTCACCATGGGAAGCCATTTCAGGGCCAGGAGAGGAGCCGGTACAACTGTGTTACACTGAAAGGAATGATGGAGTTCCCCTTTAAGCGGGGGATGGGGTGGATCCCTCTTGCGATGGCGGTTTTCAGTGATTTGCAATGTAAATCGGTTACATAACAGGAGAGCGCGCTGAGTTTTCCTTCACATGGCGCTGCAGGAGATTGAGCCTACATCCGACTCCACGGCGCTGGGCTCCCCCCCTCCTCCTTCTCCCAGCGATCGCTTAAAGGGGAACGGAAGTCATTTTAACATCCTCCATTCACGGAAGCGGGGTTAACCCCCTTCATGGCCAGAGCTGATTTAAAACCGAGCCGGCCGGGATTCACCGACAAGAACTGCAACCAGTTAAAATATACAACTTTTTTTATTGTTACATTGTTTCAATTTGTATCTTTTTATTATTATTATAATTTATTTTTTAAAATTTGATCCAATGATCTTTCGCTGAAATGGGATCGATCGGCGCTTCAACTTTAACGATCCATTTGGTGGAATTTTGGTCAAATTTTTCCTCTTTGAGGATCAGTCCTCGCAGTATTTTGAACAGAGCCACCGGCATTGGATCCACACGTCTCATTTTAGGCCGAACTCCCGGCGGGCGTAAGACATAAAGGAACGCAGCTGTATAATCCTTAATCTATTTGAATTACGAGTGACCCCCATATCAGCCGTCTCTGTACAGCAGAGCTCAGACTGGAGGAGGAGGAAGCAGCACGAGGCGCCAATCCGTTCACGTGCTGACAGGAGGAGAGAGCAGAAAGATCGTTTTGTAGAGCGCCGCACAAACTCTTGGCGCTTTCTAAATCTTGTATAATAATGAGCTCATCACCGTGCTGCTTCTCCGAATACTGGGTTGGGGGCTCGTCCGGGATGACCTGGGCTCAGAGGAAGAGGGTTGAATGTCAGACTGAGGACATCTAGTGGCAGAATAGAATTATTGCGGGGGGGAATCTCTGGATTGAAGGTGAATATGTCTGTTTTGGCTGGAGTTCGGAATGAGACATTTCGGAAGTGACCGGTCCTCTTGAGACAAGACGTCATCCACGTGCCTCAGGCAGTGTGCAGTTCATCTTAGTCATGTGACCAGTCTTTTCCGCATTCCGAGTACGTGATGCGCCTTCTTACCTTTTTAACATTCTCCCTTCGCAGTGAGGGAAGAGTCAATAGGCGACATTCCTCCCGTCCTTTGTCAGCGGCGCTCGGCATTATCCTGTCTCCCCGGGGGCGGCCGGCTCCTCGCTGTGCCGCCGTTTACCTCACTGAACTCTGCGTTCTGCAGGAGGCATCGATTGGAGTAGAGAGCCCCACGTGGGGGGGGTTAAGGCTTTGAAAGGTTTGGAACACAAAGGATGACGGATCAAAGTAACACAAAGAAAGATCAAGAGTGCGGCGCATTTCGAGGAACGAGCGTGCCGGGAGCGAATGTTCACCTTGAAGTATAAAGCGATCAATATCGACGGCTCCGAGGATCTCCTACAAGCTTCAACATGGCGGCCAAGAGACATTTCTAATCATTTCATTATAATCCTGGTGATCCCACCATGGAGGTCCTTGTTCAGGCGCTTCCTGTTGTAGGGTGACGATGCTCTGTCCTTGTTCAGGTGCTTCCTGTTGTAGGGTGACGACGCTCTGTCCTTGTTCAGGCACTTCCTGTTATAGGGTGACAAGACTCTGTCCTTGTGGCGCTTCCTGTTATAGGGTGACGACGCTCTGGCCTTCTTCAGGCGCTTCCTGTTGTAGGGTGACGATGCTCTGGCCTTGTTCAGGCGCTTCCTGTTGTAAGGAGACGACACTCTGGCCTTGTTCAGGCACTTCCTGTTATAGGGTGACGACGCTTTGTCCTCGTTCCGGCCCTTCCTGTTATGGGGTGACAGCACTCTCTCCTTAGCCTTTGGTGATCCCACCATGGAGGTCCATGTTCAGGCACTTCCTGTTATAGAGTGACCACGCTCCTGGCCTTGTTCAGGCACTTCCTGTTATAGGGTGATAATGCTCTGGCCTTGTTCTCTGGTGACCCCCCCACCATGGAGGCACTTCCTGTTCTAGGGTGACGACGCTCTGTCCTCCTGCGTTGTCACCCGGGACTACATCAGGGTTGGTTGGATGGACTTCGGTTCTGGGTTCCTTGTTCTTTAGGTTGCAGCTCTCCGCCGTCTCGTGTAGTTCATCGGCCGCGGGGACCTTTTTAATGACGCGGTGGCGCTAAAAGCAAATTTGAGGGCGGATTGACTAACTCTGAGGACGTGTCGGGTGCGGTGACCTCGCGATCAGGACCAATCTCCTTTTTATTTGCGCTCCTCGCACTTCGAGTTCTTTACATTTTGTTGCCTCATTTAACCTTTCGTCTCTCCCCTCCCCCTCCCCTCGGCCGTCTGCGGTTTTTCATTTAATGTACACGGCACGGAGTTCATTCGTGAGTCATTCCGCAGATCTCCGCCGCGTTCTCATATTCCCCGATCGCAGCTCCTCCGCGCAATCCATGATTACCGACTAATTAATTGGATAGTTGCTGGTGAAGTATCGTTTCCCCGGGAGATCGGCGTGTTCCCGGCATCTGGAATACGAGGAGGAGGAGATGAAAAAGATATTTTGTAGCAAATTGTATTATATTGCAGTTTGAGGTTCATCAGCACAAAGTCCATCAGAGTTCATTCGACCTGAGCAAGCCGGACCCTCAACCTGAGCAACCCGAACCCTCAACCTGAGCAAACCCGACCCTCAACCTGCGCAAACTTGACCCCGGACCCTCGGCCTGAGCATCCCGTCCTCTGGAACCTCCAACCTGAGCAACCGGACCCTCAACCTGTGCGAAACACCCCCCCCTCTCGTACCCTCCAACCTGAGCAACTCAACCTTCAGCCTGACTGACCCTCAACCCGACCTCGGCCTGGGCAACCTACTCAACACCAAGAGTGTCAGCTTCTTCTCTGACTTGGATACTCCAAGGGCGGGACCTTCCAACCATAGCTCTGGACTCAGACTCTGGGAAATGGGTTGCTTTTCCCTAGTTGGGGATCTTCTGCATACCTAAGAACGGTTTTGGCAATGGAGCATTCAATCCCTAAAAATGTATATTATAGGTGAACTCCACAAGCAGCAAGACTACCCTGCCGTAATTTCCACCGCTGTTTCTGCCCACCTGGGAGTTTTGAGTATCTGGTCTCTCCATCCATGCTCTAGACCCGGGAACTCAGCACAGGGATGGTGGGAGCCCCTCATAATTGGCACAGCGGGTGTACAGACCCGGGAACTCAGCACAGGGATGGTGGGAGCCCCTCATAATGGGCACAGCGGGTGTACAGACCCGGGAACTCAGCACAGGGATGGTGGGAGCCCCTCATAATGGGCACAGCGGGTGTACAGACCCGGGAACTCAGCACAGGGATGGTGGGAGCTCCTCATAATGGGCACAGCGGGTGTACAGACCCGGGAACTCAGCACAGGGATGGTGGGAGCCCCTCATAATGGGCACAGCAGGTGTACAGCCCCGGAACTCAGCACAGGGATGGTGGGAGCTCCTCATAATGGGCACAGCGGGTGTACAGACCCGGGAACTCAGCACAGGGATGGTGGGAGCCCCTCATAATGGGCACAGCGGGTGTACAGACCCGGGAACTCAGCACAGGGATGGTGGGAGCTCCTCATAATGGGCACAGCGGGTGTACAGACCCGGGAACTCAGCACAGGGATGGTGGGAGCTCCTCATAATGGACAATGTGTGTGTGTGACAAAATAAGTACAATTACAATAAAAGGAGAGTTTTATACTTTTGCACATTTGTGGTCTGTATAGCAGATTTCTATAAAAATGTTTTCATTCTGTGGTTTCAGGCCTGAACAGTTTCCAGCAGAGCGTGGCCATGGATCGCATTCAGAGGATTGTTGGCGTTCTGCAGAAGCCAGAGATGGGGTGAGTGTTATTGAGGAGATGCTTGTCAAATGATGTCACCCACTCAGAACCATCTGTGTTAATTCTGTATCTACGCTATATGGCCAGACATATGAGGAGGACCCCCCCTCCAGATGATGGGGTTTAGATAGTGAAGGTTCCATTTAATAGTCCATCATACATAGACATTGTAGACCACTGTGCTCTTCCAGCCTTGTGGTCACAGTTTGGTGAAGACCCTTTTCTGTTCCACCATGACTGTCCCCTGTGTACAACGCCAGTTTCATAGAGACATGGTGTGACCAGTTTGGTGGAGGAACTTGAGTCCTGACCTCAACCCTACTGAACACCTTCCACACCAATCTTGTGGAAAGCTTTTGTAGAAGAGTTGAGTGGTATAGCTGTGAAGGGGGCAACTCTATATTGATGGACATGGTCTTAGAATGGGGTGTCTGCAAGTACAGATAGGTGTGATGGTCGGGGGTCTTCAAGTACATAGAGGTGTGATGGTCGGGTGTCCACAAATGTTCAGCCATATAGTGTAGTTCCATCTTCTTATACTTTGGTAATATTATATGGCCACCTCCATGTCCCCATCAGCTCACCTCCAACCAATTTTACATTACAGGGAGCGTTACCTGGGCACCTTACTACAAGTAGAGATGATGCTGAAGATTTGGTTCCCCGGTGTCAGCAGCTCCTCCTCCTCGTCTTCATCCTCCTCAGACTTTGACATGGAAGAACCTCAAAACAAAATGGCCAAGGTAAGGACAACTCCAGGCAGAGATAAAGTAAAACGAATGCAGCTTTGTATTCAATAGTACGTCATTAAATGAAAGCCTGATGCTCTCCTTCACCCTTTGGCTGAAATATCATATTTGTTTCCTTTACAGAGCCCAGTTGTTGGATCTACGGGACAGAAAAGCTGCCATCAAAGACCGGTCCTTTCTTCCAGCGGTCCTAATATTCGTAAACCACACGAAAGTCACAACTTAGGCCAAGTTGAGTGTGTGTGCTGCAAAGAAGCCATGGCAGAATGGCCAACCATGAACTTGACCTGGATGCACAGTGCGCCCATCTGCAACCCACCTCTGAGCCAGGTGGACCTCCATCGTCTCAACACGGCCTTGGGCCAGGACTTGTTGTGGCCGAACGGCAACAGCTGCGGCGTCATTTTCTTGGTACAGAACAGTCAGGCCTCGGCGTCCTCTACAATGGAATCCGTATACAGCGAAGATAAACCTTTGGACCTTCGCTATTTGGGGAAAGGGGCGCAAGAGCAATTTCCTAGCCGGAGTAAGAGCACCCCGGCCGTCTTTTCCCTAGGCAACAAGAGCGGTCTCAGGCATTTGAAGACACATTCACATTCGCTCGCTCACCTTCCAACGTCCACGCAGACCTTCGGTGAAGAGAACACATAGACCACCTTTTGTTTCTCTTCTCCCGGTCAGTTTCATCTCCATCAAGATCACACGGGGCCGCTAGTCTCGGAAATGTTGGAGATCCAGCCGAAACAAGGGGGGGAAGAACCATAAGAGCGGACATGTTGCGCTGTGGTGAGGCCTTTTTTTTTTCTTAAGGCTTCAGGATTTTCTTCTGTTACACCGAGCTAAATTCCAAAGAGACGCTAGAAAGGTGATGTGCTCTCCCGGTGGCCAACAGCGGCGTCTTGAAGGGGAGCGTAGAGCAATATCTCATGTGTCTTGAGGTGTACGGACTTCATCAAAGCACTTTCGGCATGTTGACTATGTCATGATACAGACTACGGCTTGTGGCCCCAAATTCCCCCAAAATGTTCCCCTTTTTTTATCTATTTTGTTGTAACATATTTGGCACGGTTTGAAATCATAAGAGACTTGCCAAACCATTAAAATTTCAAATATCTATGGTGTCCTCCAATGGATGGGTCATAAAGGGACGAGAGCTCATTCTCCACCGCCAGGTCCTCACCCTTACCATGATACTTCGAGCCCCGGTGGGCTGAGGTCGCCTCTCCTTAAGGCTGGGTTCACACCTAGGCATATCGAATATGCGCGTTTGTCGCACGTTTCTACCGCGATTCGAGGGCTACCTGGCTGTATCCCAATGGATACGCGCGGCAAATACGCCCCAAAGAAGCTCCTGTACTTCTTTGGGCGTAGGGCGTTTTGTAGCGCGTTCATACGGCCTGTAATACTCTCAGGTGTGAACCATACCCATAGGAAATAATGGGATTTCGGGGTGTTTGAGCGTTTTGCAGAGCGTTTCACCTTCCAACGTCCACGCAGACCTTCGGTGAAGAGAACACATAGACCACCTTTTGTTTCTCTTCTCCCGGTCAGTTTCATCTCCATCAAGATCACACGGGGCCGCTAGTCTCGGAAATGTTGGAGATCCAGCCGAAACAAGGGGGGGAAGAACCATAAGAGCGGACATGTTGCGCTGTGGTGAGGCCTTTTTTTTTTCTTAAGGCTTCAGGATTTTCTTCTGTTACACCGAGCTAAATTCCAAAGAGACGCTAGAAAGGTGATGTGCTCTCCCGGTGGCCAACAGCGGCGTCTTGAAGGGGAGCGTAGAGCAATATCTCATGTGTCTTGAGGTGTACGGACTTCATCAAAGCACTTTCGGCATGTTGACTATGTCATGATACAGACTACGGCTTGTGGCCCCAAATTCCCCCAAAATGTTCCCCTTTTTTTATCTATTTTGTTGTAACATATTTGGCACGGTTTGAAATCATAAGAGACTTGCCAAACCATTAAAATTTCAAATATCTATGGTGTCCTCCAATGGATGGGTCATAAAGGGACGAGAGCTCATTCTCCACCGCCAGGTCCTCACCCTTACCATGATACTTCGAGCCCCGGTGGGCTGAGGTCGCCTCTCCTTAAGGCTGGGTTCACACCTAGGCATATCGAATATGCGCGTTTGTCGCACGTTTCTACCGCGATTCGAGGGCTACCTGGCTGTATCCCAATGGATACGCGCGGCAAATACGCCCCAAAGAAGCTCCTGTACTTCTTTGGGCGTAGGGCGTTTTGTAGCGCGTTCATACGGCCTGTAATACTCTCAGGTGTGAACCATACCCATAGGAAATAATGGGATTTCGGGGTGTTTGAGCGTTTTGCAGAGCGTAGGAACGCGCTACAAGACGCCCAGGTGTGAACCGGGCCTTATATCAGAGGCACGTTCACCGAAACCCCTTGCATTTCCTCCGCGTCCAATGGCCGTGGCTTGGTTGACGTTGGCCAAGTGCCACATTCGCCACCTTGAGATTCTGAGAGTTGAACGTTTCGGGGGGATGCTGTTGGCAGATCCAAGTGAATTGAGAAGGGAAGTCCCTTAAATTGACCTCCCCTTTATAAATGGCCCCCAAATGTCCTCTGTGGTGGTCTCATCCAACCAACGTGGACAGAAGAAGACAATGTAGTCCCAATTATTTAATATTGGCAGCAGAGATGTTTAAAAGGGGGAAGCCAATATTGTTGGATATAGCTGGGGAAGGTTATGATGTCTCGTGTCTCTCTTGGAGAAACGGGGGGCGGAGTTTGCACTCACTCCTTTCCTGTTGAGTCTCCAGGACAGGAAGTGGGGTCATGTCTCTCCACCACAGACCATTCTTTTTAGTAGGGACGGAGAAGGGTTTCTGTTTAAGATGGAAGCCGCCACCACAACATGAGGGAAATCTCCCCGGTGGGGACGCAGACGACACGAGCTTACTTCTAGGACTTCCTTACCTTGTTCAAAGCTTTGGTGGGTTCACTGGAGTTCCAAAGGTTGAGGCCCAGCTTAGGTCTAAATACATTTCAGGTGCATCAAAACACAAGATGTCCCTGGTTTTTAAAAGTAGAAAAGCCTGGGCTCTGCCAGCATGGTGCAGAGAAGGACCTTTTGAGTGGAAGCAGTGGTCTCTCTGCAGACGTCGAAGTTTAAAGGTCCTTCTCTGCAGCATGCTGGCATGGGACGGGCTCTTCTACTTTTAAAACCATGAACGCGTTGTGCTGATCTGGCCTATAGCTCTGCAATCATCAAAAGCATATGCTCCCTACTGTTGGAGAGCTCTCACTGTGCAGGGGGTAAGTTGGACTCTCTGCAGAGAGACCGCTGCTTCCCCACAGAGAGCAAGGCTTTGTACTTTCTAAAGAACAGACTGCACAGCTTTTGTTTTGATGCCCCCAGGATGTATTTAGCTGATTGAACAGGTCAGCTGGAAGAGGCATGGTGGTGGCCACCCCTGTTCTTGGCCAAGGTTCCTGTGTTTTGTATGACGGAGCACAATTATGCTGAACATGGTTGCCTTAGTCTCCCATTATGTATGCTGCCATATTGTGCTCCAAAGCAATAGCTGTGATCTTGCAGCCTCTGTGCTTATTATGAACCTGGGACTGCGGGGGGGTTATTCTCATCATGTCCTATCCTAAGCCAGAGCTGGACATATCCCGGGAGCCAAGGCGCCAATGCTCCTTAAAAAATTACAGATGGGCCCCTAACTTTTTGCACTTTTCTCTTGTTGTTGCCAATAGAGCTGGCTTGGCTTCTGGATCGGGCAGACTGGCCCCTCAATCCTGTAATTTATTTCCCCTCCTTTGACTTAAACATGAGAACTTCCATGGGGACAGTAGCAGTTGGATGGCATTTTTTTCACTGGTAGCATCCTTAAAGTATCCCTAAAGCCAAACTCATTTATGATAGGGTAGATAATGGATATAGGGTATCTAGGAGAACCTTTCACCCCCCTGGAGAACCCTTGGAATGTTCTGGTTTTCGGGAAACATTCTAAAAACAGCTCGGCGTGCATTAGTATGATGCAAGAAGTAGAAGAATGTAATGTGGTGTACCGAGCGTATCTAAAACAGGGTAACAATTGTGGTGTCCTCCAACATTGGGGGGGTCAGGGTAGAGGTGTCCGCCAACCTTGGTGGTCAGGGCAGAGGTGTCCTCCAGCCTTGGTCATCAGGGTAGAGTGTCTGCCAACCTTGGTGTTCGGGGTAGAGGTGTCTTCCAACATTGGGGGGTCAGGGTAGAGGTGTCCGCCAACCTTGGTGGTCAGGGTAGAGGTGTCCGCCAACCTTGGTGGTCAGGGTAGAGGTGTCTGCCAACCTTGGTGGTCAGGGTAGAGGTGTCCGCCAACCTTGGTGGTCAGGGTAGAGGTGTCCTCCAGCCTTGGAGGCCAGGGTAGCGGTGTCGTCCAACATTGGTCATCAGGTTATAGGTGCCAGTCATTAGGTTAGAGGTGCCGTCCAACGTTGGTCATCAGGTTAGATGTGCTGTCCAATGTTGGTCATCAGGGTAGAGGTATCGGTCCAACGTTGGTCATCAGGTTAGATGTGCTGTCCAACGTTGGTCATCAGGTTAGAGGTGTCGGTCCAACGTTGTTCATCAGGGTAGAGGTGCCATCCAGCGTTGGTCATCAAGGTAGAGGTGTCGGTCCAACCTTGGTCATCGGGGTAGAGGTGTCGGTCCAACGTTGGTCATCAAGGTAGAGGTGTCGGTCCAACCTTGGTCATCGGGGTAGAGGTGTCGGTCCAACGTTTGTCATCAGGGTAGAGGTGTCGGTCGTCAGGTTAGAGGTGTCGGTCCAACGTTGTTCATCAGGGTAGAGGTGCCCTCCAGCGTTGGTCATCGGGGTAGAGGTGTCGCCCAACGTCTGTCATCGGGGTAGAGGTGTTGTTCATCGGGGTAGAGGTGTCGGTCCAACGTTGTTCATCGGGGTAGAGGTGCCGTCCAGCGTTGGTCATCAAGGTAGAGGTGTCGGTCCAACCTTGGTCATCAGGGTAGAGGTGTCGGTCCAACATTGGTCATCAGGGTAGGGGTGTCGGTCCAACGTTGGTCATCACTGTGGGTGGGAGATCAATCCACCATTGGTGTCTACTCAAGGAACCCGTAGCAACCTCCAGGAGGAACCCTGGTTGAGAGACCCTGATCTAGACTCTTAGGATGGATTGCTGGGCCATGCTCCAGTATCGGCATGAAACAGCCACTGTAAGTCCCTATAGCCCATGTGTATATATAAACCACTGTTTATATCAAGCCATAAGAGTTGGGGGGGCATTGAAATATATTCTCACTAGAGATTAACGGCCCATTTACACTGTTGCCTAACGCTACAAGAAGACGCACCTCTACGCACACACATAGATCTGAATGGGCTCTAACAATGAGTAGAGGTTATATTTGGGTGCCTGCTGGTGGCTCCATAACCTTCCAGACTGGGCACAGGCGAGTTACTGTTAGCAAGATAGAAAAAGGTTTCCCCTGAGGGGTCTCTCGGCCCAGATGGGGGGTGGGGGAGGTCTGGCGCTGCCTATAGATATGATTGTTGCCTGAGCTGGGTGACAACGTCCCGATCAGACAATTGTAAGCTCATCAATGGGCATCTTTAGCCCGTAGAATTTCACCCAATTTTTTCTTGGCCTCCCCTCCCTGACAGCAGTAGCATGCC